GCTCTTGACAGTGCTAACTAGCAGACGTACGCACACGTAAGATGGAATAATTCGATTGAGTACTTACTTGACATCAAATAATAAATCACTGTGATCTGTCAAATAGTGCTCTACCGGAAATATTTGACTGGGCGCAATGCCCACTAATTGATTGCCCATTTTTGCCAATTTTTGTTGCCAAGATAAGGGTTCAGATAAAAACGATACACTCACTCTCGGCGTCCATTTTTCCCGATTTTTTACATCTTGCAGTGCAGCCAACCATCATTCCAGATGCATTTAGGATCCTTTGCATTTCAATTGCGTTTACGTAGGCACGCCTGATACACATTCAATATCATTCAGTACTATAGATGGTTATCACGTGAAGTTGCACCAATCATAATCATATTCGAAGTATTCAAACTTTTACTATTCAAAGCAATTGGAGCACCGTATAGCACGGCTACATATATTATTTCGTGTTACTTTTATTAATGTAGTTTTTATTTTTTCTTTTATTTTTTTAGCTTTAAGAAAGAATTAGAAAAAGACGAAAAGAAAATTAAACCGAGATTATAAAATTAATTTATTGTTAGAAATGAATATATTCAATCTGTAGAACTGGTTAAAGCAAAATGTCTAAAATATGATTCGTTGATCTTAATCTGATGTTTTTTTTCTATAAACAATAAAAAATTAATAATGTTCATGTTAATAGAATGGATATCACATTATTTGATTAAGTTAATCAGGGCTTGGTTAGTTAGCTCGAAGTTAGCAATTGATGACTTAATTTTATACAATGTTTTTGAGAAAAAAATCGATACGAATTTTATAGAATTCATCAATAATTTTAGAATTATTTAATTTCAAAATATTTTAAATGTTTATATTGAATTATCAGTAATAGCTTGCACAGTATTTTATGATATTTCATAATATTTCATATTATCTGAAATTATATTATATATTAAGATTTTACAATAAATTTTCATTGAAATTATAATCTCCAATCTTTAACACAGATTCCATGCCACCAAATGTTACTGCAGCTTGGTAGCTATCTATAGTGAATATTGCCTTGCTTGCACTAAAGCTTCCCATTACCTATACATTTGAAAAAATAGAATTTAATATCAAAAATCTAAATTTTATCGCATCACTACTTGATATTTATTATATCTTATTAATATTTATTTTATTTAAAAGCATATTATCTTTTTATATCTATAAATTCTACTTTTAACAATAACTATTACATAAAAGATTATTTTACTGTACGAAAAAATTGTTACTTGTACGTTTCTTAAAATTAATTGAAAATATTTTATCTTATTAATATTTAAATACGATTATTTTTTTTATTTTTGCAATAATCTAAATCTAATATTCCAAATGATTGATTACAAACCTTCTTTTCACTTAAACTAATCATTTCAACTCCATTAATACCGGAACCTCCAACTAGGACGAGATCGCCATAAGGATCCCCATCAAAATATTGCACTGCATAAAGGAACTCACCGTTCAAAGTCGACAGTCTGTTACACGGATTTATTGTTTCAATGAGTTTCGCGCTCATTAAATCCCATACTTGCAGACTATTGCGCACTATCCAGGAACCTGTAAGAATGTACGTCTTCTAAAATATAGAAAAGTGCATTTTTATATCAACTTGATTCGACAATTAGATATCAAATTGCACAGATATATAATAAAAATATTTTTACATGTATGTCAATAGCGTCACCGCATATATGAGGGCCTTTAATAATTCTCACTGAACCGGCCGGAACTCTGATATCCCAAATCTGCAGAAAGATTTTCTTATAATATAATTTTCTTATTAATAAATTAAAAAAAATGTTTAACTCATATATTGTATGCTTATATAGACATAATTGTGATATTTGTGAATTATACAAATAAAACTATTATGTTATAATAAATTATATATCAGTATCTACAGTTATAGAAATGTAACACTTTTGTGTTATTCATTTATATTATACATTTTTTCAAGAATTACTCTAACAGTATCATCCCAGCCTCCAGTTATAATTAGATCGGAATATTCTTTGTGAAATCGTGCTGCAAATATCCTCATTCGATGAAAATTTGTGGCTTTATTTTCAGTCAGAGCTTCTTCGTTCTTTTTGTACATTTGTATCAACTGAAATATATTTTTTATTAAGAATGTTATATATTAGATATATAACATTTTCATGTTGATAAAAATTTCAACAAAAATTTGTAAAAGACGCACTTGTAAATAAATCAATTATTATTATTGAGAATGTAATTTTATAGAATAAATATTTCATAATAATGTACTTATTAATGCTAACTTGAGCAGTTTTTACACTGTAAAGTCGAATAGCTGCGTCTTTACCACCGGAAACCAAGTAATCTCCAGTGATATTAACATCTATAGTGTTCACCTCATTCTTTAGTTCTACATAAATAAATATAAATAGGAATATAGTATTGTGTGCAATGTAACTAAACATCATTCATCTACCGAATACAAATCGGGACAACTCTTTAGTGTATGTGTTACACATGAAAATAATTCCACAGGCACTAGCAGCATAGAAGATCTCGCTGTGAACTGGATTGAATCTGCAGCACATGATTGGCATGGAATTTTTCAAATCATGGGATTTAAACGTTTCTTCTAATTTGCCAGTTTCACCGTTTCGAAGCTACAATAACATCATATAATAACAAATATAAGTTATAACAATTTCTATTAAATCATGTATTTTATACAAATCAAGACAATTCCTACCTGAATACTGCCGGATCCAAAACCTGCAGCTATAACTTCACCAGTTTTAGAAAAACGTGTGCTGTAGAGGCCACGCAAGTTTTCAGCAAAATATACTTTGTGTGTTATCTGACAAGGATTGTTTATTATATTTTCCAGGTGTGTTGGAAGCCAAGAATCATGCTGTGATGCATTCCATGATTTATCTGTATTCTATATATATATTCAAAAATGTTTTAATAAAATAGATATGAGAGTTTTGAATATAACACTTAAATTAATTTTTATAATGCTTTATAATTTTAGAAGTAATGAAACTGTTGGATCAGTAGAAATTTTTATTGACCTGATTATAATAAATATTAACTGCGGAATTCTCACCTTCTGTTCTTCTTTGTCTCCATGATTTTCTTCAAAAAGTTTATCTACAATCAATTCATAAAATCAAAAAAAAGAAAGTATATAGAAGAAATTACTATTTAGTAGAAAATTCATTATTAGATCATGTCTATAGTCATTGTAAAACAAGATTTTAAAATTTGGATGTCTTCAAGTTTCATTGAGATGAGCCTTTAAACCTTATTTATTATTTAATAAATAAATATTTGACAATAAATTCTTTATGAAGTGATAAAGTAAGATCGTACTAATAGAAAAATATGTGATATGTTGAATTGTTTAATTACAGAAGTTAGATTTGATGATCATAAAACCATAAGACGTGGAAAACATATAATATGAGATACCCAGGATATTTCTAATATGAAATAATCCATGTTTCTATGTTATAGTGAAAATCGTTGCTAAAGTATAAATGTTATTGTACAATAATAAAAAAGACAACCGGAATTGAGTGCCTATTTTTGCGATGCTTGATTCCAATTACCTGAAGAGTTCTGGATATAATCTACCGCATGCTCATTTTTCGCGTATGCTGACTGTTTGTTTGTATTTTAGAAACATTAAATAAAGTTTTTTTAATTGCAATATATTGATATATTTTTACTATCGATTTCTCGGGGCATCTCATATTAGAACACTACAATTTTTTGACTTTTTTGATTTACAATTTTTTGACTTTCCGATTTGCTTTTTACATTTCTTTAATTTTCCAAAAAAAAATGGAAGTTGAATTAAATTTTATATAACATTATCTTAAAGCTTATTAAATTCCTTTTAAAATGACCTATCATTTTTTAAAATTCTGCCTATAGACTCCTAGCATTTACCCAAAATGAACTCGGTATCTCATAATAGGGGCCTTTCCTCTACTAATTGCAAATAAAAGTACAATTAAGAAAAAAAAAAAGAATAAATGTAAAGAAAGTATAAATATTATAAACAATTATATAATTATAATTATATAATTATAATATTTTCAAAAATGTTATAAAATATGTATGATAAAAATTTGTTTATACTCAAGAAATTAAATAAAATCAATAAAAACCTTCATCATTTTCCATGATTTTCACGATACTGCTGATTTCTCGACTCAACAGAGTTCATATTTTCCTCACAGTTCCAAATTTTTTATTGAAAATCGATACTTAATTAAATACGTGTCATTAGATCATCGTTAGATTTTTTCGTAAACCGTCGATGTCAACATCAACTTTTTCCTTTGAACTGAAAATAGCCGCGAATCCAGTATCAATGATGACATCACCGTGTCTTAAAACTGCAGAGTTTCCTTTCTACATTAGGCCTCATGTATGTACAATAATCGTATAAGCCGTATCGTAGGACACAATTTGTGTGACAGCCAATCTGAAGCGTCAATTTTATTATTGACGCATCAGATTTATTTGAGTCGGAAAATCAAAAAAGAGGAATCAGAACTCAGAACTAGCAGAAGAAGAAGAAAACGCATCGCGATTGGCTGTCATAACAAGCTCCTGCGATACAGACTGTGTAACTATTGTAGATGAGACTTTAACACTTAAACATGATAGAAGAGTGAAAATAAGAATTAAATTAAACTTTAATCTGCGATTTAAATTGACAAATAAATATTTTTATTATTTTGTTAACATAAAATAAAATTATTATTTTTTAATTTAATATATGACAAAAAGGTTAGATCACAAGAACAATGAGAAATTTTCCTGATTTAATTAATCATCGGCTAATTTAAGTCGAGTTAATTGAAGTCGCTCCAGTAAACATAAATAATGATAAATTAAATATAAATGTATATTATATTATTTACATTATTTAGTCAATTATGTTTCTATAATTGTTTCAGAGGTCTGCAACAACGTTTATGATATTACTAGATGCAATACGCTGTGCGCTGATAACGTGATAACAATTGTGCCATAAGAATAGTCTTTCAGTACTGCCAGCAATGCCAGCATTCCCCCAAGTTCCAATCCCAATACTAGCAGTTGTGTTGGAACATAGCCTATACCGGAACTCACGGGGCGACAATGAGCGACAAGATGGCACGTCAGCAGGACTTCAACGATCTATTCAACGTGAAAAATAATTTCTACATCGGCAATTATCAGCAATGCATCAATGAGGCGCAGAAGATTAAGGTAAAGTTATCCCATCCCGACTGTGACATCTTGAAGACGTGATGCCACGCGCTGCATATTCCATTTAAATTCCCAAACGTGAGCGGCTGTCATCACCATTCCAACAAATACTCTTTCGTCTCATTGACATTTTTCTGATATAACTTTTTCAAATTCAAAATGATATATGTTACACAACTTTTCATGTTGTATTCGATTTTATTATTATATTAAAAATCAAATTGAACTTGGGCTTGATAATGTCACTGTCAAAATATTAAAAGTTCAGATATACAGTCAGACAGGTATTCTCTTATTAAGCAAGTCTTTGCACAATCTGGTTCCAAATATGAATTTATGTACAAGAAAGAAAAGTATGATAATTCTATAATATATCTTTCATACTGTGCTTAATAATATATATCTAATTTACAAAATAAACCATATCAGACAACATGCATGTTTAAAAGACATCATACATGTCTAAAAGATATTTAAAAGACATCATGAAGAGTTTTTCTAGACAAGATGTGTTGTCTGGATTTAGCAATTATATGATTAACATTATAAGTTTTATTTCTTTACAGACATCTGTTCCAGAAGTGACTATGGAACGTAATGTCTTTCTTTATCGTGCATACATAGCGCAGAGGAAGTTCCGTGTGGTGCTAGACGAGATTGACGTTTCATCTCCACCAGAATTACAGCCACTGAAGACCCTAGCCGACTATTTCGCTAATCCACATCGCCGAGAGGCTATAGTGGCTGAATTGGATAAGGAAACCAAGAATGTAAATTATGACAATCATATTCTGCTGATCGTGGCCGCGACCATTTACTATCATGAGAAGAATCTAGAGGCAGCTCACCGAGTAATATGCGCCTCCGACAATTTGGAGTGTATGGCGCTAACGTTACAGATATATCTCAAGATGGATCGTCTGGATCTGGCTCGTAAAGAACTCAAGGCAATGCAGGAGAAAGATGATGATGATACCTTGACTCAGCTCGCTCAGGCATGGATTAACATTAGCAGTGGTGGTGACAAGCTGCAAGATGCTTATTATATCTTTCAGGTAAGAAAAGACGAACTATCGATTCCTTGGGATGTATGAGAATATTTTATATTTGAATTTTTGTATATTCTTTATTTAAAATTATCTGATATTATTCAATTGTAAACTATTTTAGGAAATGATCGACAAGCATTCTAGTACGAGTATGTTGCTGAACGGTCAGGCTACTTGCTTCATCGGACAAGCGAAGTATGAAGAGGCAGAAATGGCTTTGCAAGAAGCTCTCGATAAAGATAGTAATAATCCAGATACATTAATCAATATGATTGTGCTCTCGCAGCATATGGGCAAACCGCCGGAAGTAGCGAATCGTTATTTAAGTCAATTGAAGGATTCCCATTTAGAGCATCCTTTCGTCAAGGAGTATTTGCAGAAGGAAATCGAATTCCATAGGCTTAAAGAACAATATTCAGCTTCCGCCTGAGTACCCCTCAGCAGATTATGGCATTCCGTGGGATAAGATCGATCAAATATTGATTATGAATGAACCCAAGCGTGGAATAACAAGTTGACTTTATCGAAGGTGTCTAATGAGTAAAGCTTCTTCTCTTCTCGAAAAACTTTTCTTCTGAAGCTGAAATATCCAGATATATCTCTAATATCTTACGGTGCAATTCAGATCTTTAATTATTGAAAAATATACAATTAAGTTATTTTATTTTTGTTGAGAGTGATTTGAAGCCTGTCCATATAATATTAACTCTTAGGCTTCCAAAAATATAGTTTTACAGATGTTATGCATATATTGGGATGTTCCAACCTTCTAGTTATCTCTCGCGAGATAGAAAACACGCAATTTTCCGAAATAGAGACATTTCGTTCGTAGATGAACATATTGCTCTGCAGTATTGAGACATTTTGTTTTTATATTAAACTAAATATATATGCTAGCAGAAAATAGATAGGTATGTATGGATAATGGAAATGTTCGAAATTGCAAAAACCGAGATGTATGTGACTGGAAAAGTCGCTCTTATCCATTTTATCCTGATGTTACACTTTCACTACATAATCATGAAAATATGGCTGCCATTTTGTAAAATTATAAATTATTATCGAAATTATAGACCATTTCGCATGTAAGCATCTCTTCATACAATATTCATATTGCCAATTTAGATGTAATAGATAGGCGAAATATTAAAATAAAATATTTCGTACATTATGAATATGCAAAAGCCGAGAAATGTCTTTTTTTAATTCCTACAAATTATCCCTTAATATTTGTAAATATCTTTATTATAAAAATAACTTATTATAATTAACTTATAAAAATAAAGTCTTACATCCATAAATTGTATACTTGTATAGAACCTAGGTCAGTCAATCTGCCTCTTAATTTTTTATAACAAGTCTTTAAATTCATCTTATACGCAAATAAAGTTTTTGAAGCTTGATTTAGAATTCATGAAATATATAATGCAAATAATTTTATATTTGAAATTTTTTAACATAAATAAGCCATTAATTTTGAGAGCGATTCGCAAGTTAAATTAAAAATAAATTTGAATGGGACAGACATATAGGAATTTTTTAAAATTTAAAAATTAATAGATCGATTCTAAGCAGAACTGTATGGCTCATAATTTGCTCTCATAAGACATAAAAACTTAAGATGTTCTATAATTTTATGCATATATATCGCAAGATGTTTGGGCATTCGTAAATATCTAATGAATCTTACGATTAGCAAGAAGCTCATAAAGATACCATAAAGATAAAGTTATAAATACTTGTAAGTTCTTACAAGTGTTACGAGAATATGTTACGAGCCTTACGATTCTGTTTAAAATTTAGACATAAAAAAAAGATTAATGCCTCTTATAAAATTTTCAAGATTAATGGCATAAATAATCCACAAGTAGACATATATAAAATAATTTAATCTTTTTATTGGTGGCGGTGGGTTTCAAAAAACCGTATTGTATATAATAGAGCACGCTGATTTCACAACAGGATAAGTGTCAAACTGTACATAAAACATAGTTACTTTATATTAAGTCCTGTGTACGTTCTGCATCTTTGACGGAGTATATATACATGAAATTATATTCCTGGATGTTCATCACGTGAAGTATATATCAGTTATTGTATTATTAAGAGTGAGACCAAAGTTAACATCGTTAAATTAATATTAATCCAAGGCTAGATGCATTATTGAATCTACATGTGATATGACTCTTATGTAGGTCATTAAAAAAATATTCATTATAATCCTAATTATTGATAATTTACATTATCATATATTTAATATTCTTAAACTAATATCACAATGGCTCGAGACAGTCAAGACTTCTGATGTTTGTGCATGTGTCCTGATAAACGATGTTAGCTGTTGGCGACACAACTGTCTTCTGTATCATCATTTATACAACTACGTGTAATGCGTGATCCATTCAAATTCGCGTCATATAAATCTGAAAAACATCTCTATTTGCCTTCGTGAAAAATTCTAAAATTGCATGACTTTCTTAAATCCGTAACAGATGTATAAATTCTATGTAAAAAATCGTTATTTCACGCGCAAACTACAGATCATAATATACACAATTCGTCTTATGCAACATCAATATTAAGAAGAAATAAAAATTATTCTCGAATGGATACAATATATTTACACGCACGCGGACTCACTTTTCTACACATGATGTGCGATAAACTTAAGTGAGAAGCAAAAATAGCGCTGGCAGGATTCGCAAAGAGAAAAGGAGGAAGAAAAAGGAAAAAAAGAAGAGTAGAAAATAATAAAGATGCCTTGTTGTACTCCCAAATATTGTTCATCACATTCAAGGAAATAAAATCAATTCTTTTCGTATGCTAACAACAAATCGTTGTCGCTATCGCACATGTCACGTTATTTAATATAACTTAAAAATGCAAATTATAAGTCCGCTGTCTAAGGAGGTAACCATTGTGTATAACAAAGTATATAGAACTTTTTCTCGGGTAAAAAATTCACGTTTAATTATATTACGTTTTTTTCTTGAAAATTGTTCGTAGATAAAATAAATACTAATTCATGTTCTTCAAAACATGTTTAGAAATTTGCACACTCTTAATTGTCTCATTGCAGTTCTTTTAAATTACATCAAGAGAAATCTTGAATTGTTACATCAAAATTTTATTGAACAAAAATCAAAATTATTAAAAATATATAAAGTATAATTAAAAAGGCTTTTAAAGGTTTTTTCTCTTCTCGAATGTTCTATACTTCCAACGAAAATGATGGAACAAATGATTGTATAGCTATTTATAGCTATTTTTAATTATAAAGATCTATAGTTAGCTATTTATTTAATTTATTCATGAATCGAAAAATTTTTTTTCTGTTCAATATCACTGCAGTGAAGAAATAAGAGTCCTTTGAGCTCAACTCTCAATGAATAACTATTACAATGATAATATGAAGAACTATTAAAACGATAACTTGATAAATTTCATAAGTGCATTGTTCAACCTTTGTTGCTTTAATGAGACTGAAAACTGTTTTATAAAATAACACGATTTTCCTTTTTCTAGTCATAGCATTAAAATTTCATTTGTCAACTAAACTTTTGAAATCGATGGAAGCAATCGATATAAGCATAGACTTACATTTTTTCGCGAAGACTGTACTGTTTCTACACTTTCAAGATGATTAACAAGATAATCATTATACCTGTACAACAACACGATTATACATAGAATTTTCGATATAATCTTTTTTAGAATAAATGGAACTTTATATAGATTTGCCTATCGTTATTTAATTTGGTTGAACCTGCAAATAAAACGGTAGAGTGATCAAAATATCATGTATTTGTTCACACTGTTTGTACCATAGAGCCAATGCATTGTCCAAATCGACAGTACAGGTCAATATAAAAAGAAAAGAACACTTTCTTCAAGCTATTTCATAAAAATAGAAGTACTTACGCAGAAGCGTCCGATACGGTTCGCTCTATGACAATTGTAATATTTTATACAGGTAATCTTAATCAAGAGCGTAGGAGAAAAAACTATAAATAAAGTATCTCGCTCCAATTTCCACTGCGTTATCTCCTAAGACTACATCAGAGTGTCTCTGTCGGAGATTCATGTTGCATTGCATTTCCATACTTTATGGAAAAGCGCCGACGGAGCAAGCGTCGAGACAACCTCAAGATCAAGAAGAACGATTAAAAATTCCATCTTTGGACAATTTCTTCGAGCGATAATGATCTGAGTTTTCAATACGCAGCACACACTACAGTCTTTAAAATCCTTATTAATCTTTTAATGTCATTTTTATCTAGAGATGCCGTTAGGGCGATTCTAAAAGGTAAGCGCGGGCGCGCGGTGTCATTTTACGTATACGACCTCGACTACTTATACTAATGCCAGGCTCTGGCATGCTCTCATCGCTATCCTCAGCATACGAGCGACGCTTGATCTTACGCCGATTTCTTACCGGCATCATGGTACTGTCGTCGCTATCCTCATTGTAATAAGGACGTTTCCGAGCTGAGGATCGTCTGCTGCTGCCATAATGTTGCCTCGTGTCCTCTGATTCCATAGAACTGCGCGGCTTTCGACGGCTCGAACGCGACGATCTGTATTTTTTGTCAGAATAATCACTGTCCTCTGAGTCTTGACTATTAGTCTTACGTTGTAATTGTGGCTGCTCTTCTTCCTCTTCTTCTTCTTCCTCCTCTTCTGGTTCCTCTTGTTCTTCATCATTGTCATCTTCGCTCTCGCTGTCGCTATTATCATTTTTCCCATTATTAGCAGTATATTTTTGGACGTTCTGCACATTCTCAGACACTAACTTTCGTGACCTAGTATCTCTTTTGATGATCTTTTCCTCTTCGCTCTCTTCTGAAAATTCCAGCGCAAGTTCATCTTCGTTGTCTTCGATTATCTTGCTCTCCGCAACGTATTCCTCGTCGTCATCGTCGTCGTCATCGTTTGCAACAACATTCAATTTCACTTTAGATTTGGATTGCTTACCATTCTTAATATTTTTGCCGCGATTTTTGCGAACCTGCTTGCTACGACCGCCAGGCGTGTAATCGTCTCCAGAATCGGTATCAACACTAACACTGGGTATTGCTGTTCTTGCTCTAGTTCTTCGGACTGGGGCACTATTACTGCTATCAGTGTCTGTTGTTACTTCAGAGTCACTAATGTCACTATCACTATCCTTCAACTTTTTCGACACGGTTGATCGGCAGATTCGCAATTTCAGCCTTGGCCGAGACGGCCCGGAATTAGACCGTTTCGTGTGACCGTTTGTCATACGTGATGGCCCTAGAAAGTGAAATAAAAATTAGCAATTTGATTATAAAAAAAAATTGGTTCAGGCCAAATTATAAAGATCAAAATTATAAAGATGTAATGGGCTGCAATCAATATTGATAAAACAATCTCAATATATCGATTATAAGACTTGATTTGAAAATTATTGATAAGAAATCATGAAGGATTCGCTAAAGTTTGTGATCTAACACAACATGAATATAGTTAATGTAAGTTAATTAATGTAACGTTTTTTTAATTTTTAGTCTTTTTTATCAAAATATAATCCTTTTTTAAATTCAAAATACAAATCGCAAAATAATTTTTTATTAAAAAATTTGAAAATATCAAAAGTATTACTCAAAAGTAGTCTCAAAATCTGACAAATTCCTTCTCATATATTATATATGTATGAAAGTGATAATTTGGAAAAGGAGGTACACGCGCGTACCAGGTGCAGATATGTCAAAATTTTTCTTTTTCTGCTCTTTACCCAACTCCTCGTCGTCGTAATCGTCACTGTCTATATCGTCCTCATCGCTAAGAGTAGATTTTGATTTGGAAGGTCCTGCACAATAAATTTGTATTTTATCGCGTTATGTTTATACAAATCAGTAATAAGTAATAAGTATTTACCAGTTCCATTACTTAAATTTGTTTTCTTTTTCTTCTTCTTTTGCTTCTTCTTTCCTTTTGGTTTCGTTTTCTTAGTTTCAGATAGTTTATGTGCTGATTTCCAACTTGTAAGTATCCTACGCATATGCTCCTCAAACATGGCCGAAAGTCTTATTGTCATCGAATATATCTGGATAAATAGTTAAATGTTTAAGGAAATACGGAAATATATGAATAAAGCAGATATTATATTAACTTACCTTGGAACGTTTGTTGGTATTATAATTCCTACTATTCGAAAATATCAATCTCATATCCTTCGCAAATTCCGCTGGCGTCTCGTAATTGCCGCCTAATAAATCTTCTTTAACGGTACGCAAGTCCATCGGTGTATCTATTATTTGATGATACTCTGGATGTTCTAATGTGTCTACCGGTTCTCTAAAAAACAATTGGTCACATTCTTTTAAATACAAAAAAGAATGCTTCAAAAACTTCAATTTCTTCTCGATATACCTAAAAGGTATTGAATCTTCGCACTGCCACAGGGTCTCCAACAAATAGCGACTAGCCAGCTTCCAGTCTTTTGAAATCTCTTGCAAAAGTGAACATTTTCTTTTAGACCTTACTTTACTGGTTGAGGGTCTCTCAACGTCTACTTCTTCCGACTCGGAGGAGTGGTATGTATCATTTAATTGATGGTACACTGCCGGGACATCCACATCAGTAGTTTCTCTGCGTAAGAAATGTTATTTAAATAACATACAAGTATATACGAAAATTCTATAAATACAACTTTTGTACAACAGATATATCTTACTTTATTATACGCAGACACAAGTCAGTGACTATTCTTGCCTTTTTCACTATATGACTGTGTGGTTCGTTGAATTGTTCAGCGTTCGTTGCTAAATATCTAACATCAAATTGTGCTGACGTAACTCTTCTGTAGAAATGATTTTCAAAACGAGCCTTTATAGTCGACAAATCGATTGGATATTCAACAATATAAGCGTAAGTTGGATAAAGACTGAGATCCACTGGTACCACGAATGGTTCTGCAATTGCAAGACTCATTACTTGATCCAAGCCTCGGATAATTCGGCGACATGTCGCTTCTCTGTCACCCATCGGCCATTCCTCCGCGTGAGGTTGATATAGTATCGCTTGTCTTTCTTCCGGTAAGACGGGAACAGCACCACCAATTTCTACGGGGACTCCTAAACGAACAATTAGTGCATACAGCATAATTAGAGAATTTAAGTTCAAATTTCAGCAGAATATCAATCAAAATATCAATATCAAAATATCATATCAAAATATACATTATATCAAAATTATCTTTTACAGTTGTTTCACTCACTCTTTTAATTAATTTAAAATTAAACAACTGTAATGATCGAATTAAATGAACTTACTATCTTCATCAACAGGCTCAAGATCCCAAGGACTCATTCGTTCATATTCCCCATTGTCCCATCTGACGCGGAAGCACATAAATAATGATTCTGAAAATTCTTCATCTAATGGCTCCATTCCAACAATCTGTCCCATCCACCAACCATCGTCGATCATACAACGAAATTTATCTCCCTCAGACCAACTTCGTGCCAACGCCATATCGAAGGTTTGACGCAACACGAGGAAATCTAACACATCGGCCATATCGTGGTACTTGATAGTAAAATTCTGTCCACTAAGTCGACCGTCCTCATCCATCAATGCTAATTTCAAACAGCACAAACGAGGCGGTCGTATTTCATATTTAATACCCACTACTTTTACAAACTCTTGTGCCTAGAATATAAAATTTCTTATTAGTATATGATTAGTATATGTCTCTCCAGCGTTAAAAATTTCAACAGAAAATATTCTGATCCCATATAATTAAAAACCCCTAAAATAAAGTAAACATACTCTAATATTTATCTTGGTCCATGGCTCGCACCGCGGACTAAGCTCATAAATCTTTTTATTCCTAATTGCATCTAAATAGAATTTATGACCTTGTCTGAAATATACTATTTCGTCGCCCATCTGCGGATAATAAGGAGCTTTCCTCGGTATTACTTCGGTAAGCCATTCTGAAGGTCGATAAATTTCAGGAACTTCACGAATACCATTAGCTATTTGTATTCCCTGCTGCATAAAGATGAGTGTTTAGAAAATGTTAAATTAAAATAAAATAAGAATCGTGACATCTATAAACAATACTTTTTTCTTAGGACGCCTACTGCGTCTTCTGTCCGTCTCACTTGGGGGTGTAACAGATCGCTTTTTCACAGGTTTCCGTTTACTGCGTTTGGGAGGCTCCAAATTCAGTCCGTGATCCGCAATCCAATCAGAATATTCAGTACTGGATTCTGTAGTGCTATCGGAACACATATCCTCCTCGTGAGCGGTGGAATCGTTGCTATTGCTACTGGCTGAACTCGCTGATGTGCCAGCGTTATCAAGATTCTGTAAAAATGCAAAGTATCCAATGATTAGTTGAATTACGCGGACTCTTCTATTTATCGTTACAACATAGCAAACATGATAAATATTTATCAATCAAATAAGGCTACTGTGAAATACCTCATATTCATCGTCATCTTCTTCATCGCGCGTTGCTCTAGTTCTATAACCGTGCCTAGTTCTATTACGTTTGCGATTTAAAAGTTTATTTCCTATATTGCCTTGATTAGTGGCAGTGCTCGAGGTAGGCTGTGGTCGCCGTCGCATTTCTCGCCGCCAACTATCTAATTCCATATCAGCCATTGCTTGACTTTACAAATAACATAAAAAAAAGTGAATTAATTCGAGAATTGAGTATATTTTTCTTTAACATTAATATTGATATCATATTTAATATACTAATGTCTGTATTACGAATAAAAAAATAAATTCATTTAAATTCATTTTAGTTTCTTATAAAATTTGTTGCCTTTCTAATGTTATTTATCTTATATTATTTTAAAAAATCCATGTAATATTTACATCATTTTAAACTGAGTCTCTTTTACAGCTGGATTCATGGGACGCGCGAGCATAGGCTTGTTCCATGGAGTAGTATTATCTCTTTGCCAATTACCACTGCTTTGCCGAACACCTTCAACATTACCCTCTCTCCTCAAACCAGCTCTACTACCGCGAGGACTTGCTATTTGACGGATTGGTTGTTCCGCGATGTTATTCTCTCTATCATCACCAGCACCGGCAGCTTCTCCATCCACATTGATATTTTGTCTCTGAGCAAGAGCCTCAATCAATCGATCAATGTTCGATCTTGGCTCTTGTTCTGGAAGACCTTCTATAACTTCTTGCATGCCTATTTAATAGAAATTTATCATTTTAATTTAATAATATAATTTTAATATAATTTTTAATATAATTTTTTTTGTTATTGAAGATTATTAGAACTTTTTAAGAATAGTAATTATTTTACATCATTTTGTATATGAATTGTTCTCTTACCGCCGGCACCAACTGCAATATTTGGTACCAATTGCTCGCCTCTACAATTTTCTCTTCCTGGTACTAATCGCTGCAATGCTGGCGGATATGGATTCCCATCTACATCTACCAAAAATGGTGGCGGCATTAAATGCGGCGCCGTTTGTGTTTGCTCATCAAGAACATAATTATTTCCATCTCTTATCAAAGGTCGATAATCCGTATGAAAAAATAATTCTTTTGGTACCTAAAAACAATGTAAAAAAATAAAATAATTTGGAAATGCTATGATACAAAGTAAAATAACATAAATGAAAACTTACGATTTTTAGTTTCTCTACTCCACATCCAAATCCATACATCAAAAGATGTCCATTAGAATCTGTTGCGGCGAGCTTTGTGCCATCAGGAGACCATTTTGCATCAAAAATGGCACAATTGCCCTGTCCTTCAACAAAATTTTGGAAACACACCATCGGTTCCGTATTTAATACGTCCCAAATAATAAGTTGTCCGTCGTGACCAGCACTAAGAATCATTCGAGGATCTATTGGATGCGATTCCAATACGAAAACCTCGTCTTTATGTCCCCGCAAAACCTTCATCAGTTCACCCGACTTTGCACCCCACACCTTCAACGTGTAATCATTCACTGCCGTTATAACAAATTCATCGCTCACGTCCCAACAAACCATGGTTACTCTCGCCTTTTTGTTTGTATCATCTTCCATTTCTGGTTCTCTGTAAAAAAAAAAGGAGAAAATAAAGTATTTTTTATAACAATGTATAAAATCTTTATCAGAAACGAAACAATAAATGCATACCCAGGGAGCTTTGCTGTCATGAGCAGCTGTTTATGTACCCATTGCTGTTGCTCGAAATGCCATACATTTGCAGTACCATCTTTAGAACCAGAAATAAATTTTAAGCCGCTATGCGCCCATTGAATACTATCAACTGTGTCAGAATGCGCCTCGATCTCGAGGACTCTGCGTGGTCCTTCGTCCCCTAACATTGCGTAAACTCTTACATTATGATCTGCGGAGCCAGCTGCCATAAATGCACCCCCGGGACTGAAGGAGGCACAAATCATTTGTGCTTGACCGGGCCTCATTTTTTCGTGGTATTGAATGGGCTTTGTACTATAATAATTAGAAACAATATGATTGTTATATATATAACTGTTTATACAAAAAGAAAATAATATTACACAAGGATATATATAAACAATTATATATATCTGATAAATTAAAAACTTACTGAAATACTGCTCTTTCATTCGATTTCTTTGTATGAGACCAAAAGGCTACGGATCCGTCAGTACTAGTAGAAACTAAATAATAAACATCATTACATACTATTGGACAAAAATTAATGGACGTAATCATGCCTGAATGCCCGGTTAAAACTGCCACCTTGAAAAAAGTATAATTTATGAGTAAGACATGATTTTCATATACATACAAAAGTAATTCTATTACATATGCATATCCATGATGGTATACTTACAGGTGACATTGATTGGAAACACCAGACCCGTATTATTCGATCTAAACTTCCCGCTGCTAACAAAGTATTATCGAAATTCACTGCAATGTCCATAATTTCCGCGGACGCGCCTCGGAAAGTGGCGAGCAAACGTCCATCGATGGAACTCCAAACTTTGACAAGTAAATCATCCGCTCCCGTTATGATGTATGTACCAGTGCGATCAAACAGCACACAGTACACCGCAGATAAATGGCCCAACGTATGCCGATACAACTTCATTTTGCTGTAAAACCTTGTTGGTATAGCTTGTGTCCGACTCAAAGGGCCAGAATTTTCACGTCCCTGAAGTACACGTACTATTGGGCAAAAAGATATACACAATGAAATTATATATCGACATTTTACATACAAAGCAAAAGACTACTGTTCAAGAATGCATATGATAAATATATCTTTTACGAACAGCTGTATGATTCTCAAACTTTCTCACCTATATTAGGCACTGATAAGCTACCGGCCAATTCTAGAAAAGGTTTTCCACCGAATCTTCCGGAATAATCGAAAATGTTGTATGTATGGCGCGTAGAATCTGCAGAAACAGAATTTTACAAATGCCATATGTAAAATATACATATTTGGTAAAAGTGAACATTTATTATGTGAGAAAATATTAATTTTAATAAATATATGATATTAAGACTTTTGTGATTTTATACCTTCGTGGGTACGCAGCAAGGATTGTCTGCCTGCTCCCAGAAGTGATATCACTCCATGAACGCATGGTGGCACTTCTTTTTCCAACACTGGTCCGATTCTGGCACATATTTGCAACAAGTAAGTTGATCCAATGTGAGGATATTTCTTTTCCTAAAAAGATTGTCACTTAATTAGTCGCTATAAGATAATCCACACATATAATATTAGATATCAAAAAATTTGGCAAATATCTATAAAGTATATATATCGAATATTATGTCAATATCATCAAAGATGTTTATTTAATTCTGTCGGTTTGTTTAAATTTATTATACAATCATATCGGTTGGATTAATAATAAGACTAAAAAAACTCTAATAAAAAATAAAAAATTTTCACAGAAAAAGGATGTTACATTAACAGATAAAATCTGCAAATATCAGTTTTTAAATCAAATATTAGTAAGAAAGTAAATTACATTTTGGATCAAATAGATCAGCTGGATTAAAAATGTTTATTTATGTTTATTTCAAATGTTTAAAAATTATAGAATATTCGCAAAAAGAAATACAGATTAAATCGACACTCACACATATAATTGGTTCTTATATTTAAAACTTAAGTATAGTTTTGAAATGTTATAAGACAATTGACAATCACAGAGCAGTATTAACATTTTAAAACAATATATTTCAGACGGTCTTAAAATAAGAACAGACTATGAGTATCCCAGTCATAGTTTTAATCAAAAACATGTGCATTTATTTAAACATTATATTCTGAATTTACAATATATAATTCTGAATCCTTTATACCAGACGTGTAAAACTCAAGAATTAATTAAGAATTAAATAATTAAACAAAGAGCTACGAGTTAATTCGTATCATTAAAGTAATTTAACTAACTCATAGTTCCTTGTTCAATTATTTGATTTATAATTATTTGAACCGTTTTTTTATCTTGTTCAATAAAAAATAATTACCTGTAATGAAAAAAATACTGCACAAAATCGAAAATTAATATTCTCTAATTACTATCAAATCAATTAGAACTGTCTGACTGATAATAACATCGCGCGAAAAATTCGAACGATCAAGTAGTTCCCACCGTTGGACCAATTGATACTTGCGCACGGACGCTCCAGCCAATCAGCGCGGCTCTCGTCACACACACGAGAATGTACTCCGTAAATAAGCTGCGGGTATCTATATTCATTGATCAGGTCACGCGAAATGGCCGGAAGCGCGCCGCGATTGGCCGACGGATGGCTATGGTGGGGGAACTGTGGCGAACGGTCACAGTACGAGTGTGAGACAGAGAAAGAGAGGGAATGAGCGACGTGAGAGGAATCACTGCGAAAGCGGTGGGATCAAAAGGGGGTAGGCAACCCCCCCGCGGATCGACGGAGGTACTCCCGTGCGCTCGGCGCATAATTTCATCGAACCACCTTGCGACGCGGCCTGAGGGACTCGCGTCGCATGGCGACTCGAGGGGCTCACACTCTCCTCGTCGTACCGATCGCCATGTCGTGACGATGCCATGCTATACTCACCAACTCCTCAAACGACTGACTATGCACGTTGCCCTCCCAATCGATACGCGCCGGTAATACCTGCGAACAGAGGGATGATCTAAAATCCATATAAGGGATGAGGGGGGAGGGAGGGGGGAAAATCAATGCCGATCGATCGGGTGAGCTCGATCGGCAAGGGCGCCGATCGTGCCATGGTGAGTGGCCGCGATACCTCGCGATCGACCAAGGTCAGTGACCTTGAGATTCTAATGTTTTGACAAGCAGAAACCACGTGCGAGCCATGTGGTCCGCGAGTCGCATTGTATACAGTGTCGGGCCCGCCGTACGGCTTACCTCAGTACGCTCTAGTTCCCGCTTCAGTATCTGAAACAAAGCGCGTTGAGTGTTCGCGTGACGCGATCGTAAGGCTGGTACGTGACATGGAAGGTGGACTCGCAACGTCGTTCACTTACCGTCGCGGCCTCCGGACAGATGCCCGATTCGAGAAACTTAACGATCAGGAAGTACAGCTCTGGAAAAAGAGATGCGCAGGGCGCCTTTAGTGACGGCGGAACGTAACGGCGCGACGATATACGGCAACACGCTCATCCGTGTCGTCCTCGCTTCGCCGTTTACGGTGTATCCGCGTTTACCTGGTGCAATTCCGGACTCGATTCTGGACACGCTGCCCTCCATCACGGCCGATCCGATCGATTTCCTATTCACTTACGGATGACGACGGTAACATTGGGCTTACGGCTTCTAGCGCCGCGATAACCACCGTGGTGTTCATTTTCTCTACTCTGTCTCTGAGAGGCCGCAACGCGCACACCGCACACGCGCACTCTGCCTACTCGACGCGAAGTAGTCCCCCAATGGCGGAGCGCCGCGCCGTCCTACGGACAGGAGCGTAACCGTCATCGCGCCACATGCGCGCCACGGGGCCCGGCCAACTCACGTTCTCCCTTGTCTCACATGATAATTTTTCGACTCTCACTATCATATTGATCGGCAATTTTCTGCGTATCATCCAACCGATCGATTATCAGATTTTTAATAAATTTTGCAAGGCCATATGGATAAATTTTACGCCTCACATGACTGTTACGGGAAAACATGGCGAACATCCGGATTACATCATCCGGGAACCTATCAGTGAAACGATGAATCCGCCATTGAGCGCGCCACGCTTGAAAACGTCTCGCGATTGGTCTCGCGAATCGCGAATTTAATCGAAACAAAATTATAAATCGTATAATTTGTTTTATAGAAACGAAACAAGACGGAAAAGTAATGTGAATAAAAACACGAATGCATAATCCAACAATGATTTCTCCTGCATGTAATCATCTTCATTATGGAACGAATTAAAAGTTTATTTAAAAAGAAGAAGTTTATTCGGTGACGCACGTGCACGATGATTTACGAAGATCACAAGAGAACTAAAGAAAAATTATGTATTAAAGTTACATTAAAAATGAAATTACTATCGTTCGCATCGCTCGCCTCATCGTACATCTTCGATTCGTACAACTTTCAAATGTAATTAATAAGTATGTATAAATCTGTAAGGCAAATTGTGAAAGATCACATCGACCTGCATCGGGAAACGCAATGCGTATCGATTCGAGTAAGATCATAATTTAGTGTGTCAGACCTACATGATTGCGATCATTCTCGAACAACCGTTGCAAATTAGATTTATGTGTGAATTTATAGGTTGGAATTTTATGGAGACAGTCTCTTTGTTTGTTGCAACTGCATGGTGATAATTAAAGAATTGAGAAAGGAGAGAAATAAAGAAAATACGCACATGGCGCAATCGCGGAAACGGCCAAGCGACACGTGCAGTATGTATAGGCTAGCGTGCACACATATAATTGTGTGTGTGTGTGTGTGTGTATGCGTGCAAGTATGTTTATATGTATATGTATTAATGTATAGATCTGTTTGCACTTCTTATTTTGCACTCTTATACTTTTTACACTCAGCGTCTTCGCTTTCTCTCTCTCATCAATGCCCAAATATATATTTATCTCGTTTTAAGTGCAACAGTTTGGGGAATATCGAACAAAAAATCTTGGTATCAATCATGAAACTTTTTTCTTAGAATGGAAAGTGAAAAGTGAAAATTTTCTCCATTAACTTCAACGATTAAAGTTTTCATCTTTCATTTTCTATCCTAGGGATAAAGTTTCATGATTGATACCCTTATGTATGTGTGTATGAATATACAATATATTTCAGATTTCGTGTTACTGAAAATTCCTAAAAATTTTTGTACTGAAACAAGATAAATTGCATATTCTGGTGTTGGAAAGAAAGAGAGAGAGAGAGAGAGAGAGCGCGACAAAAAGTGAAGATTTTGAGTGCAAAAAGTGTAAACAACACGACAGATTCATCACATGAGAGCGCGTGTAAGAATAATATATATGTGGATTAATTATAAATATAAATTTGCTATCTTCACATAGTCGTATTCTGTTCGAATCCGCTGTCAGGTGCGTTCCGTTTTGCACATGATGTATATATCATTTTACTTGTTCATTGAACATTAAAGAAAGATAAAATGATACTTATGCGTATCATGCATGAAATGAAATACCTCCATCATTTCTATTTTTGTGATACGCACCTGCAACCTGCACCTACAACTCACTTCACGTGAGAGAGAGAAGACGCGGGCCAATATGGCGGCCGCGCTGAATGAATAGAAAAATCAGGGCTCTCACGCTTCACTCATGCACGAATGTCGTGCGCATTGAATCAATTCTTTTTCTGCATTTCTTTTTCTCTATATTGAATTTTTAATCTGTATATGTTAAAGATCACAGTATCACACTTTAATTGAATTAATTGTATACAAGGCATTGTTAGATGGTCTTAGATCGTTGACGACGCCGGCAATCGCAGGTGTTTGATTCGAATTCGATCGTCCGACGAAAAAGATGTTCGATGAGAATCACGATAGCTATTCCGACGTCCCTGGCTCGCGTTAGATGAGAGAAAGAGAGAGAACTGATTTTTATCAGTATTTCGTTCGAGGTAATTGGGAGTCGAGGACACCTCGAAAATAACCTGACGTATTATCAACAGTATGGTCAAATTAGTGTAGATAAAACGAGTAATTAAGATGATGACGGAAATGTACAAAACTTGAAGACAGTGTAATATTTCATTTTTTAAATTACGATTCGAAGGTTAGATGATGACTGGCAGCTGATGTTAATCAGTATCATATATCTTGTGTTCGACAAGTATTGAATATTTAATAGTGAATGTGACAGAAACTTTTGGAACATTGAAGAGTCGAGTGCAGATTGTACATTTTTGTATGCCTGAACGTGAAATTTAAAATACGATGTCGTGGCTAAAGGAATGCACTTTGAATTGGTTTCAATCCCTAGCTTTAAGGATCATTAAGACCGGCGAAGTGCCTAAACACGTGGCTTTTATCATGGATGGTAACAGACGTTACGCGAATAAACAGAACTTGCAGAAAAAAGAAGGACATTCAAAAGGGTACGTATTTTTCAAGAAAATTTGCAGATATACTGGCTCGTTGTTCATTTATTTCATATCTTATATTTTATTAATATAAACGACAGGTTCGACAAAATGACTGAGATGTTAAACTGGTGCATGGATCTCGGTGTTGTAGAAGTCACAGTTTATACATTTAGTATAGAAAACTTTAAACGTAGCAAAGAAGAAGTTGATGATCTCATGGATCTTGCAAGGCAGAAGTTCAAGCGTCTCTTAGAAGAGAAGTGTGTAACATTAAAAATTTTTTAAATCAGATATCACATCGCAACATAATACAGATTTTGTTATTACAAATTTATATAAACAATTTCCAGGGAAAAATTGATGGACGTTGGAATATGTGTTCGTGTGATCGGCAATTTGTCCCTGATTCCAGAAGATCTATGTAAATTAGTTGCCGAAGCTATGACTATTACTAGGGAAAATAATAAAGCATTTTTAAATCTTGCTTTTGCTTATACATGTAAGTATAATTACAATGAACCATATTTATGTTTACACTTGATTTTATATATTACATTGCATGTAGGCTGCGTTCAGAGAGTGTGCTATCAGCATTATTGCATCATCTTGTTTTATGTCTCATAAACAATTAAGATAGAATGATGCAATAGTGTTAACAATATGCTGCCAGAACACAGCCTAAAATGATTTGAAAAAATTATTGATATAACGGTGTATTCTCTGGACAATTAATTTTGCTATAGCAAGGGATGAAATTACTCATGCAATTAAGGATATAATACAAGGTGTTAAGGATGCTGATATTTTACCAGAAGATATTAATGAAGATTTGATTTCTGATTGTTTATACACTTACAAGTCTCCAAATCCAGATTTATTAATTCGTACTTCCGGAGAAACTCGATTTAGCGATTTCCTCATGTGGCAAGTAAGAAAGTATTTAATTTTTGTGACTTGAATCTATATCTCTCCTTGCAATCAAAGCAAAATTCTGCATTTTTAAATTTTATCTAAATTTCTTTTAGATTTCCAATACTTGTATCTACTTTACCGAAGTATTGTGGCCTGAATTCAATATATGGAATTTTCTTAGTGCAATTTTTTATTATCAGAGATGTTATCCTAACTTGCAGAAAAATAGAAAAAATTTAAAATCAATCATGCATAATAGTAGAGTATCTATGTATCTTGATAAGTTACATAACAGACGCGACATGGCAATCGAAACAATATATCTATCAGCAGTTCAATCCTAGAAATAAATAAACATTATTCTATTAGATAAAGTGTCGAGTGAATGTTGAAAATATATGTTGCATATATTTTCTTAAAATTAACTTTCCATTATAATGTAGTTTATCGTATTTGTCCCAAGTAATTTGATTCTATTTTGAATTTCTACCAAATTATTATAGCAATTAAATTGTACTATGTCTTGTTGCATCATCAAAATTAAAAAAAATCTACATTTACAAATATATGTCAGTTAATCATATGTATGAGAACTAGTCAAGCGATTAAACAAAGACAATTATATGTGAAAACTAATGTCAAAATTTATACAAATATTTGTTTTGATACGTTTATAGTATCATAAACTCAGGGATAGATAGCTACAGATACTTCCAATTACATAAGATGTTTTAGAAAACAAGAAATAATGAAGTCTGGGATATATAAATTGATCAAGACCTAATATCGAAACGTTTGAACAATTATTAGAATTTTTACTTGTACAGAATCATTCTCATATTTCTTTTGTCATAAAATGACATGTAAAATAAATTCATACTTATGAAGAGAGTTAGATAATTAGAAGAGCAGATAAAATATGTATAAGTTAGATATAAGTAATTCATCGAACAACCAATCTTGCCAATAAAAAAAATTTAATAATGAATTATAACAATTTCAACAAACGTTTTTCTATTACAATAAAATATTTGTTTTCTGAAACGTCGCATCATAACTGTATAGATATTGATGAAATTCGCTTCCATATCATTCACATGTCGTATGTTAATACAGTGCATTTATGTATGATTATCTCTGTATGTACATTCCATACATTAGTTTATTCTTCATTGCCATGTGCATTGGAGATTTGTAAAATAAAATTGTAAAACAAATGTATATAACATAAATTATACATATGTGAAATAAATAATGTTAATCATAATAATATTAACGCGCGTGACTACAAAGATATAAATATATGAATTCTTTGCGTTGCAATATTTATATAATTTATATGTATATTATATTTTTCAAAGCCAAGAAATGTGTATAGAACGCTCTATACATTATTTACAATAATTTGGTTTATCATGTATTGCTGCACAAAGCAAATAATAATATTTATGAATGTACATTTAGTGTCAATAACTCTGAAAAAAGCGTCAACATTGTAAATATATACAATACTATCCTTAAACATAATAAGTGTTCTTCGATATAAGTATCATTTAAAATATTTCTATATCGGATAAAATTTCTAAAATATTACAGAATATTCGACATCTTGTGTAATATTTAGCTTAATGTGAAGTAAAACATTCCAATATCTATATATAATCTTATTTACAATTTAATATATATATCTTTTATTGAAAACCTGATTGAGATAAGATAATGATGGTAAACCTCTGCGATATAGATACAATTCTAGTACAAAAATTTAGTTTGCTTTTCTAACTGTTGGAGATATTTGTGCGATTATTTTTTTACATACTCATTAAAGATATAGGAACATGTTGGCACATCTCTAATAGCTAGAAAATCTTTATGTTATTGAATGAAAATCTGAAAATTCAAATGTTAAAATTATATTATATTATATTTATAGGAAAACAAAAAATTGGCTGGATACATAAAATAAAAATGTTAGAAAAAAAGTTATCATTAACAGTTTGTAAGCAGTTTCTATATTATTAACTTCATAAGGCTTCGTAAAAAATCAATCTTTTTACTTACTTAAAAAGTGGAGATATTTCACTTTTGCTCGGAATCATTCAATTGTATCTACATCGAAAGAAATACAATCAATTGAGAGACAATCATAACAAGGAGATATATGTAGCATGTTATGTTACCGAGTTAATATGATGCTGAATAAATGGGCAGTTGAATAAATCTGATCAAGTTCATGAATTTAAGTATGTGATATCATATTTATCGCACTATTAAGAATATCATTTCAAATCACCTTTTACCACTTTATAATAATACTTAAATGTCAAATCAACTTATTTTTGTTCGTTTCCTTATTTCGAGTTATAAGGCGGATAACGTCTCGACACGGGTTGCCTTTGTCTGGCTAGAAAAGATTGACCCTGTCCCGCACTAAGCGCCGCGAGGCGTTGATCCATCACCTCTCTATGGCAATTCCCGCCCAACCTATGAAAGGCGGTCACCATCAGCTTCTCCTCCATTTCTCGCAACAACCTGGATTCTTTCATGGAACGTTCCATGTCCTCGATCATCTTACGCTGCTCCATCAGCTGGTTACGCAACATGATGACTTCGTTCGGCGAAGAATTATTCTGCTTCGGATCAAGGCTTTTTATGACACTCTTGGCCTTTTCAATATATTTCTTGTGACGTTCCTCCAGCGCGGCGTTTTCATACTTCTTCCGCGTGAGCTTCTCCTGAAGAGCAAAAGCTTCCTGCTTTTGAGTCTGCAAAGCACTTTCACGTTCCTCGAGCTGCAGCGTCAGTCGTTCTTTGTCAGCTTGCACTTTCCGCAGTTCGTCCTGCAGTTGCGACAGCTTCTGATTCGGACTTACGTTGTCACTTTTGCTGTCACTGCTGCTAACTTGAGTACCCACCGTTTCTTCCAGTTGGGTTTCTAACTCCATTATCCTCTGATTTGCCTTACGAAGTTGTTCTTGCTTCGTGTTAAAACGTTCCTCGGAATCCTCAAGTAATGCTTGTATGTTTGGCAGCTTGTCCTCATTGCCATTCAACTTTATCTTCATCATCTTGTTCTCCATCTGCAGGCAGAACAGTTTTTCTTTTACCTCAAATGGCATCATTTCCGAGCCAGAAACATTGGTGCTGTCAGCGCTGGGTTTTGCCATGTTTTCGGTGGCTTGCAATTGCATGCACTTCAACTCCTCGTTCATTTCTTTTAGGGTATCTCTTTCGACAATCAGCCGATCTCTCTCCCTCTCTACAGCACCCAGCTTTGCTTCCATTTTCTTGCAATCAAACTCCAATCGATCGCACTTGTTGTTCTTTTCATCCAGCTTGTGATGGGCTTCTGTGCGCTGTTGCTTGCATAACTCCAGATGATTACGCAGCTTTGCTGTGAGCTTAACTTCTTCCTCGTATTTAAATTTGAATTGTATATTTTCTTTACTATTATCTTCCAATATTTTTAACTGTCTCTTAAGGTCACTCGCGTCCTCTATCTTTTTCTTGTATGATTCTATCATAATTTCATACCTTTCTACCTTGTCTTTGTATTCTCTCAAGGCATCCACTTCATCCTTCAGGTGATTTCTTTCGTCAGCTGCCTTTTGTAAATTCTCATTCCTCGACTGCAGCTCCAAATTTTCCTTTTCCAATAGCTCTGCCTTCAATCTATAATCATCCCTGGATGTTTCCATCTTGAACAGTTCATCCTTCAATGCTTCCACTTGCTTCCGCTCGGAATACTTAAAGGATTCTTCCGGGTTCTCAAACTCGTCCAGCCGCTCCTGGAGTTTCTTATTCTCTGCGATTAATGCGATCTTCTCTTCTTGCAACAGAGAGAGTTGTTGATCGAGCTCGTGGCACTTTTGTGCCAGTTGGTCTCTCATGTCCACTGCCGCCTGGAAATCAGCATAAAGTCTCTGTTGAGCACTGTCTGGTACATCTGGCACTAGAGACTCGAAGTTCACTTCCTGGATACTTTGCATTAACACCTGCTGTACCGTCTCTTCCATACCCATTATCCTCGTGATGAGTAGCTGCTTCTGGTTACAATTGACGGCACAACCAAGAATCAGCTGCAGCAGGCGGCGCAGCTCGTCGCTATCACAGTGCTCGCCTATCTTGGTCGCATCCGGCTTAACATAATTGGATAGTTGCTGATTCAAACATTCCACATAGTACTCCATCACAGCCTCTACGATCTTCTTCATGTTGCTCACTCTAAGGCGCCAGTTGGTGCCCACGTCGGTCTTGATCTTCGCCTTCCACACCGCTGTAAACCATTCTGGTGCGATTTTGGCTAAGGCTTCGGCTAAGGCAACACCGTCGCTTATCTCCTCCACAGAATTATGTGGCGCTTGGAGATCGAAGGTAGCCAACCACTTGATCAAGTAGTCCAACTGTTGCCGATGGTCCCCCATTTTGTTTCTTTTTTCTTGGACCTGGGAAAGTTCTGAGACTCGTTGATGATGTGGATCTCGTCAAATTCCGTTAATCGTGTCGTCCTTGTGACTGCGATTCTCGGTCGAATTCATAATCCCGTATATCAAATGTCGAAATGTCGAATCGGGATACTGTGCCGCAGATCACACGTATCCGAGAACTGTGGTGAATCAAGGATTATCTGCTCGCGTGCGTACTCTAGCTAACCAAGAAATGCAAAACGACCACTGTCATCGCGCGCCGTTACGGTCCGATAGCGCTTTATCGAGGCGGAAGTCGCGAAATTCGAGCACCGCCTCAGATAACAGCTCGTGCACGTAGCGCGTGATAATTCTATCCTGCATGGCGCACGTCAACCGACGAGAGGAACGTCCAGGTTGATCATCGTTCTCCTCCACGTATTCCGCATCTGGGAGATAAAACAAGATTTGGAATCATAACCGTTACATGCATCTCGCACTTTCTTTCCCCCACGAATTACCTTTATCTTTTTCAGGATTTCCACAGCAGGATTTAAGATTGTCTCGTTAATTATCGTAATAGATCTTGTGGAACATGAATCCAATGGGATTTTTAGATGTTTCTTCCTTCGGAAAGTGTGACAAGTGGAAGTTCTAAACTTCAAGTCCGCAAATACAATAAAGTAGTAAGCCTTAAGTCTTAACAAATTGATCAATCACAGTTGAATGTGAGAAGAATAATCGACTATGATTGGTCAATTCCTTAAGACTTAAAGCTTACTATTCTATTGTGTTTGTGAATTAAGGGTTGGAATTGTTGGGTATCCAGCTGTCACGGCTGATTTTTTAATAATCTTTCATGGCAACAGCGTCCGAGCAGCAGGAGTGATTCCAACAGATTCCAATAATCGAGTTTGATCGATTCGGCACGTATTTGCGAACGGGTAATATATTTATATTTATATAAAAAAGTAGAAAGGAGAGCAAGAAACGGAGGCCTGATAGTGTGATGGGATACGTAATAAGGTATTTGTGTGGGTGTGGGCGGGTGTGTGTGTGTGTGGGTTTGTGTGTGTGTGTGTGTGTGTTTGTGTGTGTGTGTGTTTGTGTGTGTGTGTGTGTGTGTGTGTGTGTGTGTGTGTGTGTGTGCGTATGATGTGTATAGTAGTCACATACACTTTAGGATAGAATAATTATTTAGAGTTCTATTCTGTAATCCTTAACGATGTTATCATTAAATAATTATCGTTAGAAGAGAACTTTTATTATTGTAACAAAATAACAATAAACTTGTCCTAAATTTAACAATAACAGAAAGATATGTAAATTATGACCTATATAAGATATCGGTATATAAGATTCGACTGTGAATACTGGCCTGTAGCTAAAGCTTCAGACATAATACGAGGGAGTAGCGATAATAATAAGTAATAATAGATTTCAACCTATCAGAAACTAAATATATCCAAATACACGATTTCTGATAGATTGGAGTTCAGTGGAGTTCAGCTGCTATTGATGAATTCTTCCAGATCTAAAATGCTGATTGGATGATCTAAAAGAATATACCAATAACAGCGAGCGCTCACTCAACTGTTGAGTCCGTTGAACGCAGCCATTGAAATCTAGGTATCAATTATGAAACTTCATTCCTAGGACAGAAAGTGAAAAGTGAAAATTTTTACCATTGAAGTTAATGGAAAAAATTTTCACTTTTCATTTTTCATCCTAGTTTTATCCTAGTTTTCATTCTTAGAAATACCCTGGAGGTCAATTGTGTAATTTGAAATGAGGTGAAAATTACAAAAGTGAGAAAATTCATTAAAATATTTATAATTTCATTGGTCAACATCTAGTAAATTTCACTTCTGCAACCCTCACCTCATTTTAAGTTATCGCTATTGTTGCGTATTTAAGACTTAACTTCAAAAAATTAAATAACAAGTATTAATAGTTACGGACAAAATGTAACTAAATAAAATTAAAAAGTTAAGAGTCTAAAATGTAACTAAGTTAAGTTAAAATTAATTAATTAATTTTTTAATTTTTTAACTTAATTTTTATCTTTTTAACAACCCAACCCTGTATATGTACATAATGTGTGCTTATGTTATATGTATAAATGAATTCGTATTTCTGAAAATCTGAATCCATTTTAATCCATTTCCATTCTCGTTTGCTGGGTTAATTAAATAAATATTTTACACGTGTACATCTTGTGTTCCGCTCTTATACGCATTATCTTTGTTCGATTTATAATTATAAAACTCATTATAAATTCAAAAAATATAGTTATCATTCGAAAGTAGAGTTTCAAAATCCTTTTTTTAAATTTAAATTTTGTTTATTTGTAACAAAATTGCAGATGTTTAAGAGTATGGTTAACGCGATGCTGCAAGTAGTCAGTTTGTAAAATTCTTCCTTCTAATTAGTCCATTAAATGCTTCAAAGCGAGACTTGTAGCGAGACTTCGATTACAACCTTTAAAATTAACCTCTGAAATTCTATAGTATGCGTAACATAAATTATATGTTAATGCGCTAACATCATTGTAAACGCGTTCTAGGCTGCATTTAGCAATTACGCTCAAATAATTCTAAGCTATAAGTTACATTACGTATATTATAACAAAAATGTATCCTAGAGTTATCAAGACGTAATTCTCACCCATTGTCTAATGCTTATTCATACTGGACAACAAGCGTCAAGCAGCGAAGCAGCAACCAATCAGCAAGGCGATATTTTACGCCACTGTAAATATCGCTTTACTGATTGGTTGCTGCTTGACGCTTGTTGCGTCAGTGTTAATTAGGCATATATATATAGATCTGTTTTCTGTGCCTGAACTAGTGTACACTTTTGGAACTTAAAGTGAGATAGATATACGTTTGATATATGTTTAAAGCGAGAAAGAGAGTTCTGAAACAGTCTAGTGCAAGAACAGAAAATAGACTACATGTTATCCCTTCTATCATGATAAATGTGACCATGGTGATCTCGGAAGGATCACGTTGCACGCAAGTAATATTAACAAAGAAAGAAAAAAAATTAACAGTGATCTGATTGCTGTTACATATATTTATACAAGATGAACATGCGTAGGAGCGCACCTAACATTTTAATATGTGGTATGTGGTATAGTTGTAATTATTCAGTATAAATTCCGAATACCCTTAATAATTTATTGTCAATGGTTTTTTTTAGGTACACCAGGCGTAGGCAAGAGCTTGATGGCACATCTGTTGGAGGAAGAAACTAAACTAAACTGGATCGACGTCAGTAAAGTAGCTATTGAGACTGGATGTGTGAAGGAATATGACGAGGAGTTACAATGCAGCGTATTGGATGAAGACGCGGTAATTATTCTTGTAGCCATAGTTACATTTCGTTAATATGTTCCATGTCACATGATCCTTTCATAGACGTACACTAGACTCAAGTTGGATATTTAGGCTGTTAAAGAAATATAATCATATAATTGCAAAATTAAATGTACGCAATGTTGATATTGATGCTGGCTAGCAGTTACTTTTTAATAAACAATAAATTAAAAAGGCTCAATAAATTAATAAATAATAATAAAAAAATAATAAAAAGGAAAGAACAACAAGCTGAATTAGTTTTATGTGCTAATAATGTATATTTTTGAAGTTAAACAAATAACAAACTTCTCTGGGTCATTATAAATGTTAGTTTAATCGTTATAAATTTAAAGTTGTATCTAAGTTACATAACATATGTACTTATCGCTAAACGCAACTCCTATGCCTAAAATTCTTCCTCAAAGTAATAATTGATGAAAATTATGATTAGAAATGGTTCAATCATGATGAACATTTTCGTTATTTTGAACATTTGATAGTGGAAGTTCCTTTTTAATTGATCAAGGCCTGGTACTATCAACATAAGATTAATTTTAATGTTTTTTTTAATTTATTCTTTATTTTTTTCTAATTCTAAGAATATTTTAATTCTGAATCTAAGAAATTCTTAGAATTTGGAGTAAATAAAAGTTAAGTCAAGATTTAAGTTAATTTTACATTGGTAGAATTGGCCAAAAAACATAAATACAATACAATTGTCTATTGCTGTAATACGAACATTAGATTTTGATTTCTTTAATCACAATTTTTGTAGTTGTTTAAATTATGAAATACACTTATCAACAAAATTATCGCATAGGTAAATTTATATTGTACGAAAAAAATTTATTCCACCATAGTCTATCAAACTGTGCAAATTTCTATATAAAAAAAAGGGTCCTTATTTTTTAAAAGAGATAAGGTTAACGATAGATTCAAAATCCATTGAAAACTTCGTAAAGTATAGATTTTACTCTTGAAAATGAAAAAAAAAAAAACTTAAACCCGATCATTTTTCACGGAGTTACACTTATTTATCTTAAATTTTGATATAAATTTATATATGTGATAATTCTGTTGAATGAGTATATATGTTATCTAATAAATATAATGAACAAATAAAAACATGAATTATTGATGATCCACAACCTACAATGTTAAGTTATTTAAAATTGGCTAACAAGTTTGGTTAAATTTAAATTATGAAATATTTTCTATAGATTATATTATCTAGGTCATATGTTAAACATACAAATTTTTGTTTGCAATATCTCTTTCTAGTTACTGAAACTTATGGAGAATTGGATGAGAAAAGGAGGACAAATCGTGGACTATCACAGTGCCGACTTGTTCCCTGTAAGTTGGTTTGATATTGTGTTTGTGCTCAGAACAAACAATACTATTTTATACGACCGTTTAAAAGAAAGAGGCTATAACAAGAAGAAACTACAGAGCAATGTAGAAGCTGAAATTTTTGAAATTGTTGTCCAAGAAGCAAAAGACTCGTTTGAGCCAGAAATAGTGCATGAATTAACGAATGATACTCCAGATGAGCTGATAGTTAATGTAGATAGAATATGTCAGTGGATAGAGCAATGGAAAACAGATAATAAGTAAAAGTGAGAAAATATATATTAAGTATTTCTTATGTAGACTTATTTTCTTATTATTAATCAGAATAAAGGATATTAATGAATAATAAATAAAATATTTTCTCATGTAAAGTTCTCAGGATTATGTTTATATAATAAACATAAAGAATCAGGTCAATGATCAAGCAAATGATATATTTGTTAACTAATTAAAATATTTATTATTGTATATAAATTGAACGTTTCGTGATCACGGGTTATTTCTTCAAAATAAACAATTAAATCGCTAATATAATAATGTTGATTTTGACATAACGCAATAATTATGTGATCACTAATGCAGTATTAACGCAAGATTGGAATTTGTGCGTTTGATCGAGCTGGAATGGTTACGCTTTTTCCGACTATCATTTGACTCGCTCAACAAATCATTGATGATTGACACTATAAATGTTACATTATTGATTTTGATTGTCATGGGATTTTCGCAGCACCGAAATATTGATCAATCAATTGTTGATCAATCAATTAAAATTGATCAATCAATTGATGATCAATCAATTAAAATAATTGACAATTATAATGTAATCAAAAATTGGACACCAGTAGTTAACTAACTTAATACATCTTAATCGATCAAATCATTGATCTGATTCTTTACGTTTTTTGCTTTCGCATAATATCAGCGATTTCTATACTTTTATATAATAAATATATATTTCTCATATATACTTATTTAGATTATAACTTTAATATAAATATATAAACTTATTGACGCAATAAAATGTGATTGTACAAGTTCTAAAATCTATTAAGCAAACATCTGTACATATAATACAACACATAAGCACACATGACAGACACATAAGTATAGTATACATATAATACAACAGAAGAACATTATTTTACATTTTATATAGCTAACAAAGAAATTATAATTTTTCATGTAAAAAGTTATTTGTAAACACAATACATTTATAAATCACCTAAGTAAATGATATATTTATTCTACTATACCTAGATCATGCTTTAATTTCTTTAATCTATTATCTATAGTATCATAATATTTCATTTTTATTAAAATTTTTGTTGCTGTTTCAATATCTTCTTTACTGAATGCCTCTGCCACTTGCCTGAAATAAAAAGAATAGAAACAACATTAAGTACTAAATGCGATTTTAATACTTAAGATTTAAAGCTATGAAAAATTACTTTGACATTGTATTGAGCAGTTCCTTAGATTCTTTGGCCAGCTTCAAGATTTTATTTTTATCCTTTATTGCATTTTCTATCTCTTCGTTACGTTCCATAATCTCAATGAGAAATTTTGGATTCAAGCTGGTAGTGCCTTCTGGTATTGATATACCTTTTAATTCTAACATATACAATCCTCTTTTTAATGGATGCATCAGCGTACTATAAGCCTTATTTATTAGAGATGACAACTTCTCTGAGATTTGCCTTTCTTTCTATTGACAGTTAAAACAAGTTTCACTTACAGATAAGAAAAAAAAGTTGTAATTATCATATTAGGTGCGCAACTAAGTTCTCGCTGTTATTTTGATGGAAATGCCATCAAAATAACAGCGAGAACTTAGTTGCGCACCTAATAAATTAAGAAATTTCTGAGAAAAGATCGTCTAAATTTTATTCGATGAATACTTACTTCAGATTTGTTACCAAACTTATCGGGATGCAATATTTTTTGCAGCTCTCTATATTTTTTATGAATTTCCTCATTCACTACATTGTAATCCCTTTTGATTCCGATGATATCGAAATAATTCAAATTCCGTGGTAATTCTTGCAATACTTTACACTTTGAGCAAAATAACTCGGATTTGTACACATAGTCGCAATTCCAACACTTGGGTGGACTGTCACTGCAGAATCTCAAGGATCTCAAAGGAATGGTAGAATGAATCGTTGTTCTCGATGATGCATGATGTGAATACAGCTTACATTTCTGCTTAACTGGGCTCACCGCCACCGCGGATTTTCTAATGACTCTTACCAAAAACATTTTATGGTGATTTTATAATCTAAAAGAGACAAATAATTTTCACAAAAGGATAATACAACGATAAAAATATATCTTATGCTATTACTTGGAAAAATAAACTTGTTTTATTATTTTAAAAAAAGGTAATTATTTAGAATACGCATTACACCTCCGATTAATTAGGCTCATTCGATGTGTTTTTGCCCGAAAAAGAATCTGTAAGACAAAACGTTAGGTCGGCCTCACGAATCGAGATATTAAGCATTGACGATTATTTAGGTTAGAAAATCCATCATACTGACGAGATGCAGCGCTATGTACGAACATTTCAATGCGTTGTGCCACACACCGCTAAATTTGAAGCAAGTAGCACTGTAAACATAACAAAGTTGTAAAACATAATAGAAAAATAATAGTAAAGGGTAAAAAAGCAGTTTTTTAGAATAAAATATTCTCTGCTTTAAAAACATAAAAATTATATAAGAAGGTAATTTGTGTTTGTAAAGCAGAGAATATAATTATAAATAAGTGAATTATGATATTAAAAACAATTATCTTTTTATATGAATTGAAATTTAGATCTAACATTTTTGAAGTAGAGAATTTGTTTTTAAAGCAGAGAATTGTATTCTAAAGAATATTTAATCCTTTACTGTTATTTTTCTGTTGTGTTCCTTTTGTCATATACCTTTTCTACTATGTTCACAATTAATAGCGCACTTTACTTGTTTCAAATTTATAGCATTTTCGGCCCGACCGAGTTTGCATTAACCTGGATTGAAATAATGACGTTTCGTGCTCTCCTATTAATAGAGCGTGTAACGTCAACCAATAGCGAAGCATTTTCTAATCTAAGTTGATGGAAACCCGGTCGGGCCGAAAACGCTATTAGTCAAGCAGCGGAGCAACAACCAATCAGCGAGGCGATATTTTTTACGCCACTGTAAACATCGCTTCGCTGATTGGTGAAAAGCCGGTTGTGATGGTGAAATTTACCATCCATCACCCATTCGTTTTTCGCCAATCAGCGTTCGATATCAAAACTCGTATGAGGATCCGAGCTAAAAAAACATCACTGCCCGTATCGCCTAGCTGATTGGTTGCTGTTTCCACTATTTGATGCTTGACGCTTGCATGTGAATGCACCTTTAGATCACCCATCAAGCATTTTGCTACCGCAGCGTGGCGCATATGAAAAGTCAGCTTTATTTGTGAACAAGCAGCCACGAGAGACGAACGTCTACGTCGGAAGCACATTCTATGATCACGGGTGCAACGTAACACGTGTTAGGTCGAGTACGTTTACTTGTAGAAAGAGAGAAGACGTAGTGGCTGTGGCTCCGCTGGCAACGTAACGAATCTTCGTCGTCGCCTATCCGTAAGATCAATTTAACGTTATTATCAGTCACGATATCAGATTCATGCTATGATGCAGGATTCCGTGTCGCCGTCTCGCTCATGGCATTTCCGCGATCGAGTGTATATTCATGAAGCGCGATTTGTCTACGGTGACGAGATGCACACGTCGCACGCATTTTGGTAAACGGCAGCTATCTGACACGAGGACAGTAACGATTTGCCTACGGTGATCTGGTCGCGAATCGTGTTCGTGCCGCCTCGCGACGTCGCCGGATATCGTCGACGCAAACCGTTCCGTGTTCTCGCATCTCCCTAACCTACCTAGCCATTGTAACTGCATAACCTGACTCGCGTGCATAACATATTGCGCCCCCGATTCTCCGTGTTGGTGCGACCGGCCGCGCGGATGACGCAACGATGTCCTCGATCGCGCGACATCGGTTGCGTCGATCTCGGCACGTCGTCGATCAGACACGTGGCTGCGTGTCGCGTCGAAAGCATCGAGACGCGAACTGTGTTTTGGAGTGCTTGTTTTCATTGTGCTGGAAAGTAGAGCATGCCTCGTGCTCTGGTTCCACGTGCTAATGTAGAGCATTACCAGATGGGTCGGCTTGGAAGGTGGAATTTACTTTCCAATTGAGAATGTTGAATCATATTTATAATTTCTTTCCATTTACATCAAATCTCAGACAATTCTTATTTCTGATGTCGTAACTCGGTTTCTTGCATGTTCCTTTTCATTCTAACAAAGTGAGATTCGACTGAGTTTTTATTTACAAAAACTGCATAAGCCTGAGTCATTTGTCATTGTTACATTAAAAGAGATTTATAAACTTGTATGGTATGTGTTATGCGAGATAACTTTGTCATTAAAATAAGTAGTGATGTCATTATCTGTAAAATACTATGACTTATTTAAAATATTACGAAATACATAATTTAAAATTCAATATCATTTGTGATAAAATGGAAAGTAATTTATATTGTCACATTTACTGCCACGTTTACTGCCACGAAAGCTAAAGTTGGGAAGTGAGCTTATCTATCATATCTCTTTTTACTGTGAAGCAAGAAATCTTTGATTGCATTGGATTCTACATTCCAATTCGATAAGCCTTCAAAAATCTTGAGGCAAGGTATTGAGATGCATTATACAAATGGTTAATATTTTTTTTTTTTTTTCTTTGTGCACAGATTGTAGCAGCATTAGTACGGATTACGTAATATACACAAAATTATACAGTGACAAAAGTTGTGCAGCCAAGATCCCAACCATTCACGCCCGAAACATAGATCTTGAGAAATTCAAGCGTTGCAACGGTGCAGAAGGGCTCTATGTGCTCCACCGTGACTTGGGCGAATGGTACTTTAGTTTCCAAGAGCTTGCTACTGTGGTATCGCGAGAGGTGCGTCCAGGTGGCCTGTAATCCGGGTGTGCAACAGCGACAAAATGCTCAACGAGATCAAGGCGGCGGTACTGTTCTTAGTAAATCTGATCGAAAAAAGCGAAAAATTTAGTCCCGATCAATTGGAATGCTTCAAGCGGCACCTGGTCGAACTGCTGACGGAACGCTTCAAAAATCACTGGTTTCCCGACAAACCGTTTAAAGGCCAGGGCTACCGTTGCATTCGCGTCAATGGCCACAATCGTCGGGACGCAACCCTGGAAAGTGCCGCGAACGCGGCTGGTGTCAAGTACGAGGATCTGGCATTGCCGGTGGAATTGACGCTGTGGGTTGATCCCAACGAAGTCTGCTGTCGATTTGGCGAGAGCAAGGGATCGTACTGTACGCTGGCATCATTCGATGATAAAGAAAACACTGTACCCATTTTTCAAGCCGAGCATAATGAAAACATAGAGAACGAGAATAAGCCAGCCCACGTGGGGTCTATCAAGATACAGGTGAGTAATTGATATATTAAAAGATTGAATTTACAATATTTATGCGATGTGCAAACATGAATTTAAATTTAATAGAGCAAACGAAAGAATTTTTATAAATGTATATTCAGAAAAACTTATTGTCTCAGAAATATTTAGTTTTATCAATTTATAAATTATCTTATTCCTTGTTTGTTACATATTTTTTCAATCATGCAAAGTGTTTGAAAAATAGGTAATTTATAAAACATCCGTCCAATCTATCATAAATTGATATCCCAAATAGGTTGCATAAAATTATTGATTTACAAAACAAATTGAAAAATTTAAATTATTAATTTTTGAAATAATTACACTGCTTTACAAATTTTGAATAATTTTTAATATGTATCAAGAAAGGAAACAATTTTTTAAATGTAATTTTAGGATGCTGAGTTCGAATCTGTCTTCAGAAAATTTATATTAGGTCAAATTTTTAAGATATAGCATGTCATTTTTAAGATTTAACGTATCAATTTTTAAACTATAGCATTTCTTTACGAATAATTTGAGTGCGAGTGATGAGCAAGGCAAGTGAAACCATTCCAAAGTATAACAAAACAAAAATTAAACGTTTAGTTCTTCTGATTTGTTTTTTGATTTTAATAAAACTTTACTATATTGGAAAAATTGTCTTTTGTATCTTAGAAACCTGATCCAATGGAAATATTTCGATGGCAGATTCGAGTTCGACATCGGAAATTATTCTAAAAATAATCTTTATGTATTCTTGTATAAACCTTTCTAGTATTATTAATTATATTTGCTATTTTTCTATTCTTATCTTCATTGTTTTTTATGTCCAATCTAACTCTATATTCGATGTAATATCTCTAAAATATTATATATAAAATAATTTCGATGTATAATTTAATGATGTTATAATTTCAGAAATCCCCTCTAACCGCAAGTACAGAACAACAATTGAAATCAAAACCATTAAGCATCGCTAATCAAAATCAACAGCATAGCAATAACGGTACAGGTAAGAGGCGCAACTTGAACAGTCCTAGGTTGCATCTGAACAGAAATCGTTCGTGGTTTGGCCATTCCTTCAGTATGGGTTACGGTCCTCATCCAATCAGCCAGCCATGGTACAATATAATGCCCCCGCATTTCCTCGGTGGCCCTTCTCCGCCACCTTTTATAGGACACCGAGGGAATAAGTGGGTACATCAACCTTCTTATCCCGCAGGACCCGCCCGTTTTCACCATTGGTCTCCCAAAGCTGCTCTTAAGGTATAAAGAGAAGAGAGTTTTAAGAAAATAGTTAAGAAACCTGTTTCTTCTTGGAAAAAAAACCAGAAAATTTGAAACACAAAATATAATTGCTTGTTTTCCAGAAAATATTGTTGAATCTATTATTAAAAGTATTTAAATTAAAATGTATTCATGATGAAATTTATGCAGGTAGAGAATGTAAATGTAAATTTTTATATTGGAAACAGGTTTATTAACGCGTTTCAGTGACAAAAATTATCCATCCTGTAATTACAAATGACCTTGTTCGAACTAAGGCTTACGATTTTTTATGAGAAGTATTGCATTATTACATGTTACGTATATATAATAAAAATTGGAGTAAATGTTTAACTCCGGATGCAAGGTTGCTTGTAAAAAGATAGATTAATGCACTATAGCAATTCAAATAGAATAGTAAATGACGCAGTATGTGCGTGAAATGGAAATAGATGTCATATCATGACCAGTTATTTCACCGATCAATTTTTGAAATAACTTAAACTTTATTCGGAATTATACGCGTGATAATATATCAAAGAATTGAGAATTGAGAAAATTTATTTATCTATAATCATCGCAAATTGATGAATTGTATATTTGCTTTGTTACATCTGTTTTGTTACATTTGTTGTTGTCAAATGCGTTATTGAATTTGTATAATTGAATTGGCAACGCCATTTGTTTAAGCGCGCGCGTTAATAGTTTATAATAGGACAGAATAGGAAAATAATTTCGAAAGTTTTAAAACTTGATACAATTATTTATGGTATAAATTTATTATTTTAAGTCTGTTCTTTATCGATAAACTCCCTGAATTGGTATACATCGGTGCAATAAGTTAAAATGTAATAAATATAGTTTGTTTCACTTTAACTATTGTACCGTGAGCATCATCAATTCAGAGAGTTTTTTGATGAAGAACACAGATTTTTTGCCACGTTACATGCAATATATTCATGTTCAAAAGTCATAGCTTTATGTATTTCTTAAACGGTTTATCTGAGCTTTCTCCGACAAACCTCCCGAAGGTGATGCAGGACGTTATGTGTATAGCTGTATAGTCTTAAAAAGACCACGATTAAAACTTTTTTATTTTACATTGAAAAGATATTTTTGTAATAAATAATACGTTGTATGTGTGCGTAAAGCACAGAAAAGCTTTATTTTACACCAAAAGGAATGTCGACATCAAGTTCGAAAACTTTCAAAATTAATCCCGTTACTTGTCCCGTTATAGTCTAATTTAAACTGGATAAATAACAGGTTTTGTTCCGAATATATGACTAATATTTACTCTATAGTAGATTTTATTTACATATTATTAGCTATACATTGTAAAGAACTGAATGAAGTGTTAAAAAGTTACCTTTTATTTCGTGTGTGTGTATATATATATATATGATTACAATCGATTGTGATTGCGTGATAAACGTGATTTCGGTAGAATCTTGATTTCTATTCTGATTTGGATAAATTTAATTATATATATATATATGTTATTATTATATCGTCTAACAAGGTGTAAGAACAAATTCGTTCTACCCTCTCTCGTGTAAGGGTAGAGTCGCGAATGCATTCTATTAATTTTTGTGCTTGGAGAAAAAAATCCACGACATTTGCTATTTAAAAATACTGCCGCTATTGAGATTTTTATCAATGATCAATGCTATTGTTGGATTAACGAAGCGACGCTGACACTAAAATTAATTGCGCTGCCATGTGCAGACGTTTAGACAAATTGTTGTTGTTGTCACGTTTGACACGAACGAGCGTCTCAAATTTATTCTTATGAATCACATGCTATTTTTAACTTTAATGTTTTTGCGTATATTCGTTGTTTGTGTATATTCAGCTTCTTATGCGGAATTAACGCGCATTCATCAAAGTGTAACATCAATGAATAGTTATATTAATATCGTGTGAATGTACATTTGGCCTTTTATATATGTATATTATTAGAGAATTTATGAGACATCAATAATATATATTTACTTATACATATGTTGGCTTTATATATATAATAGACGTACGTATTTTTTGTTTTTATTATGGGTGTGTTATGTTTATATATACTATATACATATATACACTGTGCGTGAATATGTTGGTGACAATGTCGAAAAATGTAATTCTTAGTTGTGATTTATTTTGTAAGATCAGTTGTTCCTTCGAGACAGAATATCAATTCTGAACATTTAACTTAATTTCACGACAGCTAGTCAAGTTTACTGCGTAATTAATTTAATTTCTACGTAACAGATAGAGAAGTTTTTATATATATATTTTGAATATAATTAATTCATAGTCAGTAGTATAGAAATATACAATTTATTACGTATTTTGTCTGATAAGTTTTTATACGCTTATGTTTATATTATATTTAAAAGAGCCAAATTCATCTAAATATTTTTTGATAACGTTGTTTATTTTTTATAGAATATGAAACGAGAATTAGAGATTGCAAAATTTGTTAAAAATTAGATCTGTAACTTATCTTATAAAATTATTTTAAAATTATTATCTTAACTCGTTATTTTTCGATTTTTTAATATCTCTATCTGAAATGCCGAGAATTCGACGGACTTAATTCGAGATGTGCAATTAACATTGTGCAATATTTGTTGTACAATGACAAAAACTGAATCTTCTCGAAGGAACAATTTGTATTACGTTAAACGACATTACGAATGTGTCTGTAATTTCGAGATAAAAATCTCTGAGAAGCACAAGGTGCATTCCTATTACGCACTAACTGATAACAGAATTAACACACTTTTAAATAATCATTTCGATAACACGGTAAAATCATGGGGATCGAAGAATACGTTATATTTAATATCACATGATAGAGAGAGAGAATTATAGCTCGATATATGCGGACTGGTATATCACTGTTGCCGGATAACGCGAATGACGAAGATTAATCTAGATGTGTATCGTAAAAAAATAGACTACGTTAGATGACATTTTAATCAAGGAATAGAATGACTCGTCGTAATATCTTCTCGCGGCCTTGTTTCGCGTAACGGAAGGTGCCGCAATTTCATTTCAAATGCCTCCATTTTGAGACTGATTGCTAGCAAAGTGAATTGGTTTTCTTTTCGACGAATAGATTGCAACACAGTCAACCTTTTTGTTTACGTGAATTAATTATAACGTTAGATAAATTCATTAATAATTAGAAAAACTACATTTAACAGTCTATTGATCTCGAGATAATTTGATTTATGTAATAGAGATAAAATCGAGACGATGAAATGGTGCCTCCGTTACGATGAAGAAAAGCCGGTGTGAACCAGGTCGTCCCGTATGTAGCGCAATTCTGCAACTTTCACAGTTTTATAGTTAGCACCGTTCGCTAAATGCAATCTGCCCTAGTGTAGGAACTTTGTGTTCAATTTGTTAAAACCTTATTCAGAGAAGTTATGTTGTTGTTATGTAGGAATATGGAAAGTCTATATAGATATTATATATATATATATATATATATATATATATATATATACATATACATATATATAAATATATTATGGCATATGTATGTATTGTAGAATTAAGCAATATTGCATTCGGACATATTCTTTTATTAATATTCTTACATAATACATATATATAATATATATACGTATATGTATATGTGCATACGTACTTGTACATGTGTGTATACGTGCGTACCTACACATATATATGTATACATATGCACATATATATATACGCGCATAAAAGTATATGTATGTATATATCAATGAAGGAAGGAGAGGCGCTCAACATTTGAAATGTTCCAAACTTTCTAACTGTGTTCACACGTAAGAAGAAACCGAATGCGACAACAATGTACCTTTTCTTAATGATAAGTAGGTAGTCAATTATTTTATACGAGCCAGATACATACATACACGCGCGCGTATTGCGTGCCTTGCGTGATCAAACGGTAAAACGCAGTAGACAGATATACTCGTGTAAAAAAACCTTTGTAATAGAAAATTTGGAATGCGATGTGCGTGAAATGATCAGAACGAACATTAGTACGATAGGCAGATCAACGGTTTGCGATCCACGAAACCACTTTGTACTTATCCTACTTTCGCCGGACGTTTTAGCACTTTGAATCAAACGGCTCTGTTTTGCGTTTTATTTTCGGCTCAGTTTATCAGGCTTGTGCATCTAAATGGGACTCTGCATTCATATGATGCAATATTGAAAGAGGAAAGTCGATGAAACGAATAATAGATTATAAAAGGATCTCGGTCGCGAGGCGCGAATCGAATTGACGCCACGTGTCGCGCGATCAGTGAATTCAAAGTGTTAAATCGCGTTATAGGAGAGCACGAGTATCGGTGCCTTTTTACCTTGAAAAAAAAAAACAATGCCGAGTGGCATTTACGTGACTTCGTTGATTTGTATACCACGTTATTTCGTCGTGCGTTTACTCACGAAAGCGAGATCGTATTTCACATTTTCCATGACACGCAGAGTTCTCCACTAACGAGACATTGATGAGACAACCGACCGGATGTTTACCGGATTGTCGCTTATCTAAGAACGTATTAATGTTTGGATCATTTCGATTGTAGGGTATAAAGCACCATATAAACGTATACATATATACATATATATATGTTTCTCCTCTAATGCTGTGTCATATGTTGTAGGGATATTTCTTCTTGCATAGCTATTGCAATGATACTGGACGAATGTCGAGAGAAACGGTCCGATTTTCTTCTAATATAACTTCGAGATAAAGTAGTAAACTATAAAAATGTGGTTGTCGATTGTCCATTTAAATCGGAACGAGTCAATGCATTCTGAAGAATTTAAGATAATTTATTATATTTTAATAAGATTTTTATATTTTAAAGATTTTACTGATCTGCGAAAAATTATATTAACATCACGGAAGAAATTCATTAATTTAATTTGTAAATAGCAAATTAAAAAAAATACGCAATTTTGTAATCTTTCGTAAATCCGAACAAGTGAAGGACGTACATTTATTTTGTTAAATGCTTAAAAAATTTTTGCTAATATTGCAATTATATTTAAAAAAGAGGACAAATTTTATCTTGATATGGAAAGAATGGTTTTGCTGAGGTATTTAAAAATTTAGCTAGATATTAGATCTGAGAATCAAAATAATTATATAGGAACTCAAGCTGGTTGCAAGAATATCAAAACTTTTTGCAACATGGCTTATCATGAGATTTCTACGTAATTATTTTGATGATCCAAAATTGATTTCAGATTTGCAGGTATCTAGCTAAATTTTTAGCTGTACTTCATCGAAATCGTTCTTTCCGTGAAAATGGATTGCGTTAATTTCAAAGAAAAAGAGAGAAAAATTACGTGATGTTGAATAATTAGAACGACGATTGAAAGAAGTAAGGAAGGGAAACCATTGCTGTTCTGCTCATTCTGTTGTACGATCTTTGCGCATTTCTGAAAAAGTATCCGATACAATACAGCTGCGTTCGACACACTTCATTTTACGCGTTTATCTGATGTAATATCACATATTTCAGCAACAATTACTTATCAGCATACTTTCGACAATACCCATGTCTTGTACTTCACATGACACTCAAATACTACGTCTTATACATTTTGCAATCGAGGCTAACGATAATGTACGATTCCGTCGTGTTTAATCAATCAAATTTTATCTTTGAATGCGTCTGCTCACGTGGACAGGCTAGATGTAGCGCTTTTGGAATGTCCCGATTAGGACACGTCGGCGCTTCGTGTTCGCACCGTAAACGCGAAGTGACGATCACTGATCGGGATCGCGTAGGACTCTCGGCCGCGGCCGACGCTACTTGCACAGCAAATAGATAAGGGTTTCCTCTGTCGTACGTAGTTTTATGATGTAACGTAAATTGCTAACGCAGCCCGCGAAATCAAAGGCGTTACAAATCGTGTCACGTTGCGATTTAGAGAAAAAAAAAAAATAGAGGAAAAAGAAACAGAATTTCCTTTTCGAGATCAGAGTGTCAATCATGTAATTTTTTTCCTTAGGGTGGAAGCGTGAGAAATGAAAATTTGTTGTATGTATGTGTGTACATGTGCATACATTCGTACATACATAAAAAAATGTCACCTTTCATGTTTTCACTCTAGAGAAAAAAATTACATGATTGATATCCACTGGGGATGCAACGCTGCGATATTTTCCAAGATGAGCTTAATAGATATTAGTTATCACGGAAATTACCGGTAATTTATTTAATACGTATATATGAGATATGACAATGTTGTAGACTTTAATTATGTATTATCACATGTTAGTTTCATTATCATATTAATTTTATTGCAGTTTAATTTTTCTCATTGTTT